ATTTAAAATATGTATTATATCTATAGTTTGTGTACTTATATACGTTGTTAGTAACTTAAGATTAAAACAACAAGTCTTCGTTTTAATATTTAAAATTATAGAATTATAGATTCATTGTCATTATGAACGTTTTTAGAAAAATTTAAAAACATGCGTATTACAATTTTTACATATCATTGAGCCGTAGCTTAAATTATTGAAACTTCTTAATATGTTACAAATTTTATTTTAAAATAAAAAATAAAGTATAAATGGTAGAACTATTTTGTTAAAAAAAAAAAAAAAATATATTCTCAAAGTTTAATACAATATACAGAGACACAATGTACAATCCTCTAATTGAACGTTAATTGGAAAAAAAAATCTAGTTATCTAACTCATATATTGTATTACGTTATACCTCATTGGAATAACAAACTTATCTCACTGGATTCTTAGTTATCAATTATCGCCTTTTATTTCAATTTCTTGTTATTTCATAAGTCAAAATAACCATCATCAAAATCATTATTGGTCAAATAACGGATGTGAGACCTTACTAATTGAACTCAAACAACTTGCACCCAAGACGTAAGTATACACAGTGATTAAAGTGATCAACTAGCAATCGAATACTCTTTGAAACAGAAGTTTTAATAGTCATGAAATTAAAAAAAAAAAAACAAATACGATTTTCTACTACCCACACTTTTCTAGGTATCTTATATATGACTGATCTAAACATTTTTACTAACGTAGACAATTCTATAAAATATTAAATATACATAATTAAAATTAAAAATGATAACTACAAAATTTACTGGCTTAACATTTAATGTTTCTGAAAATATAATTTATCGTGCTGATATTTGAAAGAGAAAAATTAAAGGTTCCGGAATTGTTGACTGAATCACTCAAACAGGACCGGAATCTATATCTATCTCCATTACCTATCAAATTCATCGTTTTTGCCAATTTGCACAACAAGCTTTTGTAACTCTTTACTGATTTTAAGTTTTTGTATCATAGTTTAATGGTCTATGTGTGTTTATTAATTATACGATTGATATAAATAAATATCTGTAGATCACTTTTAATGAACACCAGAGTGTAACTACTTACAAATAAAATAAGGCTTAAACCTAATAAACGTTTAAACTAGGTATACAAAAATAATTCATTTTTAAAAATGAATATAATATAATATAATTATATTATTGACAGTAAAGTAGAATTCTACCGGTATTTGTATACATCAAATGATGTGAAAGAACTAACACAATAAGAAATAGCATAAAATTATTTAAACTAGACATTATTGTCTACGTACAAACGACATCTCTTTTTGAAAAACAAATATTCTGTTTTAAAATTTAATTAACTAACGTGATTGAAAATACGTTAAATCACTTTAAAATGTGATAACTTTCGTTGATAAAATACCGTGACATATTATTGAAAATTAATTTTCTGAAACTAATTATTTATCTGAGAAAACTACACTTAATTATTTCACTATAGCGATTCTGTAACGATTTCCATAGAATATCATTAATTTTTACAAGGACACTGGACAGAATACAATTTATTTAGATCATTTTAATATTTATGCTTTATATATGAATCGTATCTAACAAAAATTTAATCATATTACCGGTTATTTAAACTAAATAAATTTGCGTTAACGTAAAATGGTCTTATTTTTATTATGATCACTATAGCTTTACAACATCAACTCCATATAACCTAATTATACTGCTGAATTAAATCGAATTTTGACAAAACAATAACAGTTACATTTTCCTAATGCAAGTATGTGGTTTTTACGAAGTAAGTATACTTAATATTTTTTTTCGAGATGCAATTATTATATAATTACTTTTAAATGTTACATCAATCTTAGACATATAATGCTAAATTGATTTTTAAGGTTCTATATGGAAGTTTTTAAGCTTTCTATCGTTCATAGAAAAAATAAAAATAAATAAAAACATTGTGAATACATTTTTTATAACCTCGGTTGTATCGAATAATTTTTTACAGCAAAACCTTTATAACATGAAACGGTTGAAGAAAAAAAATCAAGTTATTACATTTTTTTATTTTATAAAAAAAGACAGATATTATTTTTAGTTTTGTTTAATTACTTGTATGGTTATAATACCCTAAATATACTCAGAATATATATATATATATATAATATTAAAATGTTAAAAAGAATATTCGATAGTTGTAATTAAAAAGTCTATTACATAATACCTATGTGCATTAGTTTTGATTTATTTTTATTGACTTATTATATTGATTTAAGACTTGTATTGTTTTGAAAATAAGTCAGTCAGTTTAATATCAAGTCTTTTATTAGTCTTCAATATTGTATTATCATTGAGCACAGAGGTACTAATAGCGTACAGTAGATAAACATTTATTAAATAATGACTGTCAATCTATTGCATTTTTAGATAGTGTCTTAAAACAATAAATTAATATTAAATTTCTAATAAATTTTCGATTATCGTTATTTATATCTTTACATTAGATAATTATGTCAAATAATAAGAGTTATAAGCGACATAAACAACTTTGATTTATCGAGAAATTCTAGTCAGCAAAAACCAGATCATCAAGAAAATGTATTTCAAAAAATGTATATTGAAATAAAGAGACTAAAATATTCCTTTGAATCATCTAAAATTTGACTATTAAAAAATTAACATTAAAGTTAATGAAATTCCACTTATTAATTTTTTTAAATTTTTTTTTGCTTCTACCAACCTTTATAATTTTTTTTTATAAGATTTTAAAGTAAGAATAATAATTCATGTTTTGTTCTAATTTTATATCAAAAGATTTTTTCATTTAATATTTTATAAATTTTATAAATACAAATAGGAATTATTTTTTTAAATTTAATTTTCAACATTAGAATATTCACCTAAACACTTATCAATTGAAATAAAAATAAGTACCAAATACTCAATCAAATCAAATGTAAGTAGTTCTAAAGTGACTAATAAATATGTTTATAGGTTATAAATGTTCATTGCCAGTCCTCATCTAAACCTAAAATATTGTAATAATGATATTAATTTGATGATTCTTATTAATTGTTCAGAAAAATATTTTGCTAAATAAAAATAAACGTAAAATTTAGTATGTATCATTATATTATATAATGTATCATTTAGTAAAAATGTATATTTATAAAAAAAATGTGTAAAAACTATTACACAGTAAAAAAGATAGCAAAAACATTAACTGATTGCATTATTATCTAGAAAAGAAAGATTATTATACAATAAGTGGTCCGAAATATTTTAATTTTAACTAGTTTTATGTAAAATAAACACAATCTTTTAGTAAAAAATGAAAAAACAAAACAAAAACGATGCTGGGTCTACAATAATGTGCCTTTTCGTGAAATAAAAATGAAGTTATATTCATAAAAAAATTTATGCTGGTAATTGAAAAAAAAATACAACACGTTACAAGGGTAGTCTTAAAAACTATAATATCGGTACATAACCAAGTGGATGATATTGTATGTCATCATCAGTCCGTAAGGCTGAAATGGTGAAACAGTTAATTTAAACATAAGGACATAGTTAACATTTAAAATACGCACGGACGTTAAACAAACAGCATCATTTATGATATATTATATTATATTTACAAATAACGAGTAAAATCATAACTAAATTTTTTATCACAAGCCAATATACATATTATACTAACATTTTCCATTTTTTAGATACTTCAGTAAAATTTTCGGTATCTCAATTTGAAGAATTAGAATATTAGCTTATACGTAAAAAACTATTTTTAAGAAAAAAAACTTCCAAGATTATATTAAGCTCAACATTTTTAAACAGATTAAAGTAGAGATATATCATTAAATCTTAGAAATCTAAGAATAACTACTGAAATATATATATATAGTACTTATTGAGGTAGATATACAAAGTATCACTATAAAATCACTTCATACCTTACACTTTTAAAAAATTCCTTGCTCCTGTTTCTACTCAGATAATTGTTATTATTATAATACTCAATAATATTCAAATTATAAGAATCAAAATAAAAAAGTATTTAAAAAAAACATTTTGGTTTTTATTTAAATAGAATTCTATAATATATAGCAAAGTAATAAAAATTATTAGATATGTAAGTTTATTGTACTTTATAAATAAATAGAAAACACGATTATTTACACAAATTAGAACACGCCGCTATTCTATCCATACAAATTATAGCAGAAAATAAACCCAATCTCTAAAAATTCTTTGTATCTAATACATAAACGTAAGTATCATAATTTTAAAATTATTAATTTAAAATTTTTATTGATTAAATAAAAAAAGTGCATGATAGGAATTTAGTAAGTGTCTGTTGGAGGCATGTACTATCTTATTATTATTGATACAGGCATGAAGGTATAAAACTATTTTTTTTCTGTTTTTATTTTAACTATAAATATTTATATTATGTGATTCAATAATGTCACAAATTAAATTTCAGAAGTGTTAAATATTTATCTTCTAAATATTTAATTTAAACATAGAATACAACCTAAATGCAGTTTAAGATAAATTAATTATTTTAATGTGAAGCTATATTTCTTCCTGATTCTCGTTGATACCGACTATGTTACCATAAATATAATAAGTAAATAGGTAAGGCGAATTCATTTAATGGGCTTGATATTTTGTATCAGGTTATTATAATTATGTCATAAGTCAAAATAATTATCAGTTTTAGATTTTTAATATAAAAATTTGTTTCAGATCTAATTTTAATGGTTTTATAAACAAGAAAATGATATACACAACAATCAAGCAAACACATTTGATAATATTATAAAATGGCTTAATATCTGATTTGCATTAAATTAATGAGTTAAGTATAATGATAAAGTAAACACGAACACCAATGGTATGGTATATGAAATGTGTAATCGCCAATAAATTGTACATTTCAATTGATCTGAATGTAATTATTGGTATCTGTTTTATTTTTACCTGTCACGTAGCTGACTATGACACCAATGAAGACTGTTACAAATGTGCCCAATAACGAGTAGTACATATATGTTATCGAATACAACATTGTCAGTATATCGCTGCAAAATAAAATGCATAACAATTTAAAATATAAACATATCAGAAGAATTATTACCATCACTATTATATTATTTATAAGCATTATATAAAACGAGTATTTTAGTATGTAATGTTTTTTCAACGTTCGATAATCAAATCAAACAGACTATCTTAAGAATGTTATGAAGCGTCGCACATGTTCTTCACTTAAATAACTAATTGAGATTGATAAATTTAACATAATTTATATACTACAATTATGCATACTTTTTAGAGGACGATTTGACTCCAGGCGACGATAGGACACTAGAAACGGCCATGTCGTCGTGGGTTTTGTTGATAAAGCTCATTTTGTATTGACTATACTGTACATCAAATATCGGCTCAATATGAGGCGAGAACGTCGTATTCGTACATCCTTCAGTGGATACTGGTAGATAATCAGGTACTTTGGCAATAGACAACGATCCAAGTACAATAAATAGGGTCATTAAGTGACTTGATATCATACCGGCAGCAGCACCCTATTTAAATAAAAAATAAAAATAAATATTAAATTAAAAACTATTAAAATATATACGTATAAACATTATGAATAATTATACTAAATTGTGTATGATTAAAATATTTTTGGAGATAATTCTAAATTAAATATTCCATAGTTCATTAATACCAATTTTATTTAAAAATGTACTTTCAATTTGATTAACTTTTATTAGAACTAATATAATATTTTATTGAATTATCTATTAATTTATTGCTAATAAAATAAAAACAATTATTACATAAATAAACTATCTAAAATCTCAAAGTCAGTAATGAATACATAAATTATTGCTTAATCCATTTTATTATTATACTCAATCAAAAATTGAATCAGTCAGATGTTTTATATTTTTAAACACTTATAAGCTATACCTAACCTATAAATGTAAATTAAGCTATAAAGTCAAATGCAGTTTTAAATTTTTATACGTAGCGAAATTGTCACTTAAATATAATGATTATTGTTAAGGTATATTATCATTATTATAAATAGTATAAACTATAATATATATAGGTATACTTACGTAATTTAAAAATATATTATTATAATAGTGAACCACAATATTGGTGGTCATTGGGTTTATTAAAAAAATAAAATGTTATGTGGAATATTTTTACATTCTTAAATTTCTCCATTTTAATAAGTGCGTATTGTTAATTTAAATTTCCTATCTATTTTGATGTAATTATACGTCATATAGTTAAAATATTTTAGGTATTATATTTATGCAAGAATTATAACTTATATTGGTATGATAAATAATAAATTCAAAATAAATAAGAATTTTTTTTTATGAATATATAGATATACGGAATCAATAAAATTACTCATGTACTTACTTTCCAATTTGTTGATGGGAAAAACATAGCTAAAACAAAAACTCCTAAAAGAGGTCCACTAGTTGCAGACGTCATAAGCTGAGAAGCATCAATAACACCCGAGGATTGTGCGACAATAAATGCAATACCCATAACTATAAAACCACTAATTACACCTAAAAATAAATAAATATTATTAGCTATGTATACAATTTTTTTTTTCAAACAACACTAATTATTTAAATTTTATAACATTATAAAATAATTTGTGAAATGTTTTTATTGAAACACATAGCAGTTCATTATCAAATAATTTGAAGATTATATTGGTTCATTGTGTTTAGACTTACTTATGCTTTTAATGCATATTAGTTGGTTTTTTTCACTAGCACTTTTGAATATGGGTATTTGAGAAACAAAATCTTCCCAAGCAACAGTGGAGATTGAATTTAAATTTGACACTAATATACTGTAATTTAGAATATTTTACGTTATAGAACATAAAGGAAAATATATGATAGTAATAATAAGACAAATTAAAGTGATTTACCTAAGTCCACTGTTGAATAAACTGGCCAATACGAGTCCCATGAAACCCGGCAAAAAGTAAAATTTATCTTCAATGTAAAAAGGTATGATTTCGTCGATCTCCGATATGTATCCAAGTGCTCGAGGATCACAATCAGCGTACACCGTAAATATTACCATACCAACAATCCATGATAGACTGAAGAGGAATATCATCAACGGTATGGTCAGCCACAAAGCCCTAGGCAAACGTTACGAATTTGGAAAAATGCCCTAATCAACATAAATATACGGCTGCCATTTTGAATATAAAAACGGTTCGCAGTTAATTACTTTTCAACTTGTTTCTGAGAGTCCATACTGAAGTAGCGTTGAACGAAATTTTGTTGGCATCCGAACATTGAAAGCGACATGAACAGTTGACCTAGAGTGGCGGACACCGTTGACACGCGAATCGTAGGATCCATGTCAAAACTGAAATTATAAAATGCTAATTGTTAAAGGCTAGTCTTATATGGATCTAGATTATAGATTCTACACATACTTGAAAAAGTCCAGCCTGTTCCTTTCCTTGCTCACTTCGAATACATTCAATGGACCTTTGGCTATAAAGAAACCGTGTACGATGATTACTATGCTGCAACCAATCATCACTAAACTCTGAACGGCATCTGCAAGGATAGCTGATCTCAAACCTCCCTGAAATAACGATTACAGAGTTAGAAATATTAACAAAATACAGGTATTGTAAAACAATGTTTTTTTTTAAAATTATTATTTGAATGGTTTGTCTGGACTATGATGTAACGACAATTTCATAATAATAGAGTACCTTTGACATTTCAAAAAATAAAATTAATGTAGAAAAAAAATGATTTTATACTAATTTTGAAACCACATATAGTATTTATTTGTTTAAAAATATAATGGGTAAAAAAAAAAAAATGACAGTACATAGCTTTAATTTTTATTAAATATTATTGTTTATTACATTAAATAAATACGTGTTTCACGAAGACCATAATATAGTTTAAATTATTAAGTAATAGTCATTAGATAAAATAGATACTAATAACCTTTATCACTATAGTAATTAAGAAATACAAGATATTGCATAATACGAATAACATAGTGATATGGTTTAAATCTTACTTAAATATATATTTATAGATCTAAAAGATTGCAAGCCAAAATTTTTTCTAAATTTAATTGTTAAAAAGTATTTTTTATTGTCGATTAAGTATGCCCTTACTATGTATCAAAATGCAAGTAATTACATTTTGCGGTAACTATGATATTACTTTTAGTTATTCATTAAAACCAAGTTATTAATTTATTATTTGTTTTAAAGGAATTCAATTAAACATATATGTATATTGTATACTTTCTTTGAAAACTTTTAAAAAAAAGGTTCGAAATTATTTTCTACATACAGAATAAATATCTACGAATAAATGTGTAGAGTAAAATTTGTAATTAGTGTAATTAATTTGCTTTCTAAATGTTACTATAATCTTAAGTTTGAGAATATGTGATGTAACATTAACATAGATTTGTAGCTATTAATATTTAAACTATAATAACGCTTAATGTTTATAAAGAAATCATAATTGATTAGATAGCTAATATATTTTATAAACAATATATTAGTATTAATTTTAGTGCATAATTGCACAAAATTAACCACATAATCAAAATATCTAATTAATAACAATTATTACAAACCTATAATGTTAAATGTTAAATTTCAAAATTACCTACGTTTTCTAATAAAATAAATTTAATACCCGTACAAAGTGTAGTAGTTATTTCGATTTATAACGATTGATTTTATTCATTTTGTGAATAAGTAATGAAATGAATAAAATTATTTTCAAAAATAAAGTATACATTTGATTTTTAATTGAATTACATTTATTTATTGAAATCCCGTTAATAGTTACACTAATGTTTTATAGCAATGCAATGAGTCACACAATATTTTATTTTAAACAAAGTACAGATATATAATTTAATTAATTAACTTTTTTTTTTATATTAAGTAAAAGAAATATACAACTATCAAAATTTTGCACAACAAGTATTAATAATATAGATGGTTTACATATCGTGAATGAGGCGCGATATAGGAGGGCTCCCAATGAAGCTACCTACTTAAGAGAATTTTTTTAAAGAGAAAATAGTTTTTAATGGAGAAGGTTTCTGATCCATTTTCTTTTGAGTCTTTGTGGAGGATTGTCAGGGATTTAATTAATAAGTTATTAAATTGTATTTTTTTTTTTTTTTTATAGGAATTATTATTATTATTATTTATTTCAAGAACAATTTCTCATTAATAATTTAATGATTTTACAATTTGTTTTTACATATTATTATTTTTTTAAATATGGGATTTTGAAATAATTTTATTAATGATGTATTTGTTTTAGTGAAATCATATTATATACTTATACTATATTTTATTATTGTTTAATGATTCTTTAAGATATATATTTATATTAATATATTGAAATACGTATACGTTCATTTTCTAAAATGATGACCTTCTTACTTTTTACTTTTATATTTTAAATACTTAGTGACGTACAAAAATGAGGTACCTACAAACATAGTTTAAGTGAAAATAAAACAATGTTAAAAATTAATAAAGAAAAAAGTAAGTAATAGGTTTATTAAATGGTAATTCATTAGATCAATGTTTATCATTATTAATTTTCTTAGTAATAAAGATTATTATGAAAATAATCGATAAACCATAACATTTTTAAAATAAAGATTATGCATTTTGTAAACTATATTATAATATCATAGAAGTTTGTTTTTAATAAATTTTAAATTTAAATTATCTATAATTATTTTATAATTTATTATGGTTGAAATTTATAGTATATATGAAATGGAAAAATAAGTAGACTAATAATTTATTTTAATTACTCAGGTATATCTATAATTACCGATCATCATGTGCCCATCGTCTGTTAACTTATTTAAAAATACCATAATAAATACTGTTTACAATTATCTGTTTATCTGCGTCATAATAACACACCTACATCGTTTGCATATCAATATATCGAATAATAAAACAATACGTACAACAAATATTTAAGAGTACATAAGTTAAACTTCACGTATTACAAGAACTTTTAAACCAAATTTTGGTTGAATTGAAGATTTGATAACTGTAATGATTCACATAATATATTTTAATGCATATTATATTACATGTGTACATATTTATACATTTTTAAACAGCAATATACCTACTTATTATTTGAAAATTGAATATTGCAAGCGTTAAATTATTAACTAAAAATGAGTAAACAACTTGCGCTTTTAAATATTCCAAATCTCTTGTAGTTCTATTATTGTTAAATACGCTGATATACAAATGATGTACAATAATTTTACGTAAGGATTTTACCTTGAACGATGCGTAAACGATGAATTACACAAAAATTGATCGGTTTTGGTATTGTTATATAAAAATCAGTTATAGTAATAAAGTTATCTCACCAGTAATGTGAAAATGATGGCAATCGATGTAATTAAGATGATCGAAAACCAATATGGTAATCCCATCACAGTTTTTAAAGCGACGCATGGTGTGAAAACTGTCACGCCAAGGTTAAGTATACTTCTAATAAAATATGTAGCAGACGCAAGCCTTCTCACAAGTCTTGATTTGAATCGCATATCTAAGTACTATAAATAGACAAAAAAGAATTTGTTCTAAACTATATATTGACATGTACTATTAGAGTAAAAAAATAATTATTATAAGTATATAGTTTGATAAACAGGCATTTCAAGAAGTATGTAATTCGTATTTTATGATAGCAGTAAATACGTAAATAGTAAAACAGACCAAAATGTATTATGTAACAAATTAAATTCAGCTGTATTCGTAGCTGGTATCTAACTATCATTCAAATATTATATTTTATAATATAATATACATATTGTATAATACTTACTTGATAAACTGAAGTAATTCCGAGATTAAAATACACTGGTAGGAAAAAATATAAAACTAAAGGAAATGCTAGGGACATTCCGTATAAGGTTTCCCACATTCCACTTCCTCTGTAATAAAATTCAGATGGATACCCTGAAAAAATAAATCGTTTCAATTAAAATATATATTAGTTAGTAATAAATTAAAATTAACTAATTTATATAAACAATAATAGATTTTAAATATTAACGAGAGGTTGATAAAAAGGAAGGTACATATAATCAATTGTATTTTGTGAATAGCAGAGAAAATGAGTGAAATAATGTATTATATTATATATATTAAAAAAAAAAAAATTAGGTTGACTTATATTTTTAGTAAACTATTATCATGGCAATAAAATCATTAAATATCTTATAATATTATATAATGAACGACGATTAAATAAATGGTAGTTAACAAATGTAATATTATATGTAATGAATGTAAGAGTTTTTTTGTTATATTAAATAAATTTATATATTATATATAATACAATCAATACACAAATTAATATTTTTTTGAAACATAAGTATAAGAAAATTAAATTAAAGATTTTTTAGTAATTTTTTTAAAAAGCTAAAATTATAATTAATATTATTTACATACAGCACATACAGGTTTATTTTGCTGTACAATTTGAAATTGTATTTCTACTTTAACGATTAAATAACTAATACATAATATGAAGTTAAAAATACACTTTAAAATCTAATAAAACTTAAGACTAAATGTACTTATGAACGTTAAACATATTTACCAAGGAAGACTTTGACACCCAGAAATCCACGTGCAATGGATAGGAGCATCGCTCCCATTGAAACCGACCCTTTCGATGCAAACACATAATCCGCTTTCGTCTGTTCTTTGGGACCGGATATTTTACTATAAATTAATACTGCAAATGACAACCCAATCAGCAGTAGAAAAACTGCATAATCGAAAATAATACTTTGCATGGTTTATTATAATATCTCTGGAAAATAAAATATATTTACACATATTTATTAATAGTTATAACTTATAATAATGATATTAAAAACTATAAAACAAAATTATGTGTTGTAATAAAATATGTGCGATTTATTAAGTTTTTAATGTTTTCATACGTAATTTATTTTGAAAAATGAATGGTATGAATAACCATAATAAGCATACAACTATACCTAGCTAATAATAAACTATGTTGTACTTATATTTCAAAAAGATGTTACAGATTAGTCGCATTGCATATCAATAAATATATAATTGTGGTAAATTGAGTAAGAAAATGTAAGTACTATAAGAGCTTAATAAATATAAATTTTTATACTTTTTCAAAAAATAAATAATATGTTTAGTGATTAAAGTATTCTATTGTACAAATAATGCAATATTAAATATTTTAATAAGTATATTATACATCTAGTCATATACGTGTAGGTTTAAAAGTAATATATGTAAAGTGAGTATATATCTATAGCACTTAATATCATTTTAAAATTAGTTCTTAAGTACTGGAGTGTGATCAAAGATTTCTTAGTGTAAATTATACGTATTAAACTTTATATTATTTATTTATGTAAAATATATATTATATTTTATAAATATTGACATAATATATACCTACAGACTACAGACATACAGTATATTAATATTAAGTTGAAACGTTTATTTTTTCAATAAAACAAACACTTCTTTTACTCAAACTTCAATAAAATTTTATTTTGATTAATATATCATATTATATTATATAGGTATATAAGTTCCACATATTCTTATTAACCTTGGAATAAATTACATCTAGACTAGAAAGATAATAAATTATAAATTTGTCAAGTAATCAAATGTTTTAGATTTAAAAATAAATTGACGATAAAATTAGCTTTAGATAGACAATAATTTAAATTTTTTTGGATTTATTTATTTAATTAACTAAAGATAAATAGTATTATTAAAAAAAAATAATACCATTAAATATTAAAAAAGAGTTCACGAGGTACCGCATTTATATGTATCTATAACCCTTACACCAGAGATTCCCAACTAGGGTGCGTGAAATTATTTGAAATATATTTTTTTAAATGTAATATGTGTATAGAGCATTATAGTATGTACCTACCACCTTACTAATTTTATTTATACTTATGCAATGATAAATAGAACTGAAGTAGTCTATAGGATTTAGGGTGCCTCCAGATTTTTAAAAAATGACTAAGGTTGCCGTGAGTCAAAAAAGTTTGGGAATATCTGCCTTACAACTAAAAAAATAAACAAATGCAATTTAACAAAAGATAATGTAACTTTGTCAGATTGTTTCATGTTTATTTTATATGAAATAATATTTTTAATTATTATTTATTACAATAGTTAATTGAAATATTTGAATAAATTCCAAATTAAGTCATCAGTATTTATTAATATACACCAGACTCGTATATTATATTATATATTATAAAAGGAATACGTTTATATGGGGTGTGGGAATAGGCTTAAATGTCTGAGTTATCTACTTACTGATAACTTTTTCTCGAAGGAAGTATTTTCTTATGAAATTTTATATCCAATATAATGCTGATACGTTAAAAATCAGTTATTATGTTTTATTACAAACTGAGGTTTTTCTGAAACTCAAAATGTGATAAATGATAATCTATCATGATTATCTGGAAAAGTGAAGAATGTTGTTCGCTGTTTACCTTGAAATCAGGTGTGATCTTTTTTATCTATATTATTTTGTAATATATAAAAATAAAATTAAACATTTGAAAAACAAATAAATAATTAAAAAAATAAAATTATTTTTTTTTTAATCATCTTGTTTTCTATATTATTTCCTCTTTACTATGATTTTTTGGGAATATGTAGTACGCAGTACATAATATTCCGGAATAATTCATTTAAATTTAAAAATGAATTTAATTTAAAAGAAAAGTGTTTCTTAGATTAATTTAATTTTCAATAAAATAATATGTTCTTTGTGTTCAAAATCCAAATCAAATTTCACTATTATTTTTTATATAACTAAATTAAAAGTCTATACATTACTACAGAAATTTTGATAATTATCATGACCCACGATAATTTTGAAGAGTTATTATTATATTTATAGCAGGTATTACGTATTAACTAATTACTGAACACTATTATAAATTAATTAGGCCAGTCTGGGAATAAAAGTGAAGTGTATACGTTATATACATATATATAATTGTATAAATATAAAATTAACGTTAAGTGTAGGTCATATTATTATTAAATTATTCTTAGTTTTACATAGATTTTTTTTTAAACATAATGCTATAGCCTAGGCTATAATTATATGTAATTTATCTATAATTGGAAAGAAAAATATCAGATAAATCAAAAATAATCTAAAAAAATTTGTATAATATATATAATAACTGTTATATAATTCGTAATTTATACTCTTACTAACTTTTATTTTTTTGATATATCTAAGGCATTTAGATAGGTAAATAACTATTATAATATCAAATGTAAAATGTTACTACTACGCATACTTTAATGACAAACAAAAGAATCATCTCTCTTAGAACCTCTTTATGTAAAGCACACCTTTCTTAAAATTAATAATACCCAATTGGAAACTACTGCCATAAATCAAAAAAAAAATAAAATAAAACGACCGTAATACAGCATTTTAGGATCATATTATATTAAGTCCAAATAATATAAATTGCATCCAAAATTTTCTTTTGCGATTTGCATTTCTACATCTACGACTATAGTACGAAATTTTCAACATTTTATTGGTTATAAGTATTTTAGTTCGGTGTGCATATAAAATTTTTGATAAAAAATTTTTTTTTCTTTATGTCATTTAAAATGTTATGTTATAATATAGTGTTAATTCTGTTTTATTTTGTAGGTACATAAATTTTATTTAACTATAAAAAAAAATACAAATTTGCATCGACGATCAAAAATTTTGATAGTACCTATGTAACATAAAAAATAAAATTTTACAATGAAATTGTGATAAGAAACGTATAAGTATTTTGTTAAAAAAAGAGAAAAAAATGTTTTGTAAAACATAATTTATTCAATATTTAATTAAAAAATAGAGATAATGATGTATTTAATTATTAAATAAACAACATTTTGTAATAATCTTAGTATAATAAATTAATTTTTAATTTTATAAATTTAAAAAGGTTTTAAATTTTCTTAATTGGTTTTCCTATTTGCTTCTTTTCAGAAATTTAATTTGTATTTATAAAATATTTATAATATTTTACCGAATTATTATCAATAGGTTTGTTTATCAATTATATTGATTGTTTATTAAAAAAAGGTAAAACTTATTATATGCGGATGACATAAACATTTTTGTATAATTGACTCTTGTTGATGGTCAATATTTACAGCAAATGAATTAAATTTTTTTAGTCATTAAGTTACTAACATAAGGTTAATATTTAACTTAAATAAGTGTCAAATAATTTCTTCTATATATATATATCCTCCTCCCATTGTTTACTCTTATTTTCTAAATAATATTCAACTCCAACGTATTTTCTTTTCAAAATATCATCTTTGCCTTAAACGTGTTAAAAATAGATTTTTAGTTTATGCTTTTTTAATTATGAATACTTTGGTTATCCTTTTAAAACTACTTGGTCACAAAGTTTTAATAATGACCAATGGTTCATAATTTTTATTTAAATGAGTATTTAGGGGCTCCAGATCTTCTCAAAAGTTTGTTTTTTAAAGAGTTAGATAAGCCTTCCTTTTTATTATACCCAAAACCAGATTCTTTTCTCTCACTACCCTGCACGGGTATAACCACTCCCTTCATTGCATTCTTAGAATGTATACTTACTGATAGCTGTATTTTTAATATGTTTTTAACATTACTATTAGATTTAAAACGTATTTATTTTTTTTTTTGGAATTATATTTAAGTTGACACATTTAAAAAATAATAAATTAAGTAGATTAACAGAAGGAGATATTAAAATTAAAGTAATATATTTTAATGATAATAATTATATGTAATGAATACTTATTTTAAATTAAACATTTTACGTATTGTTGCATAACATAAATTTAAAAGGAATGTATATCATAAGAACAATTAATAATAAAATTAAGAATAATAATAAACATAGGTTAAGTAAAATTATTTAGCTAATTTTTAAGAACAATGATTAAAATAATATGCAGATAGCTATTAAAAATTTTAAAGCACATTTATCACGCTAATATAGTATTAAAGCTTTAAAATTAAAATAAAACATTATTTCTCAAATAATGTTTAGTTAAAATATTGAAAATGACGAGAAAATAAAATGAATCCATAGACCATTTTAAATCATTTTTAGTTTTGATATTATGTATAAAATATATTGTGTTTAAATTTGTATATTATTATGCATTATTTATCTCTACATAATAAAATAAAATATATTTTATAGTTAGACACTCTTTGTTTTTCTTTAAGTAATCCTATTTGTATAGCATTATATTTATATTTATGTCCTCGATTACAATTTTAAATATATTATAACCATAATTTAGTTATTTTAATTTACATAAATAGCTGATTATAATTTAGTGAATATATCAACAAAACATTAAAAAACAATAATATCACCGAAGTTAAGTGTAAAATACATGTATATATTATAATTTATAATAAGTAGTATAGTATAATTTGAAAATTTAATATTTTTAAATATTTATTTATTTTAAAATAGATTTATTATTGCTATGATTAAACAATCTTAATAGTAATTAATAAACAAAACGATTTATTATATTCTTAAAAACTATCTTTAAGTAAGCCAATTAATTAGATATGCGTATGTGTTAATGGTTCACTAAAAAAATAGTATACTACTGCGATTAAAATATTGATGCTAATTTTTAAGCTATTTGAAACAATATATGACCTTGAATAATAAAATGACAATAAAACTAATACACTTATTTCAAAATGTAGTATGCAATATGCATAGTCATATTACACATTATAATCATTAGTTAAAAATATCTGGAGCTAGAATGACAGTAATTAATGATCTTATTTTTAATTTTCAAAAGTAATGAGCATTTCAGTGTTAATTTTATGTTTATCTCATTGTTTTAATATTTGTAAAACATGAAACAAAAGTGTATAACTTGCGACTATTAGTCTTTTAAACGGTACTAATATTATAATATGTTGTTAACTAACAGTATATTAAATACTTCGATTTAGAAACTCTATTTGTATGTATATTTTTTTATACAATTTATGAATTTAAAGAACAAGAAAAAAAGTATAGAAAATATTACCAGGCTGATCAGTTTTTTAAAACAGATTTAATACTAAAACATTTTTTGGAGGATAATAAAAGTGTTTTACTATATTAAAATGTAAAAATAAATTTTTAATCAATACACAAATATCGCTCGTTATAACCAATCCTGGACAATAAACACATGCATAATAAAATAATTCCGGTGTTAAATAGACTAAAAGAAATTCATACAAAAATTGTAATCAATTTAACTGTGTATAAATAATTGAAGTAACTATAAAAGTATATGTAACACTAGTGATTTGATATAACTTACACAATACATACATACATACATATTATATACCATAAGTTAAATTGTAAACGCAATAAATAATGAAGAAATAATCTGGAGGATATCTAACGTATGTTATATATATATATATATATATATGTGTCTGTGTGTTTATTGATACTATTTAATTTTAGTGGCTTTGGTCATATTATTATTATTATTGTTACGATTTATTGCCATACAGTAATATTAATGTATATAATATATAATATTTAAAAGGGATTTTTTGTAAAACAAGTTTTTTTTTTTTATTTATGTATAATATTATAATATTGTTATAGAATATAATAGCAATAGTTTTCAATGTTTTCATTGATAAAAAAAAAGAAATCATTTATTCAAAATTATATACAGATTAATAAATAATTTGAATAAATGTTTAATTACATAAACATAATTTGTAAATTTATTTAACTAATAAAATAAAATAAATTTTTATAAATAAAAACGTGAAAATTTAAGAATATCTACAAATTAAAATATAATATTATAAACCATTAATCATTTACTTAATTTAAGGAAACATAGTACATTAATAACTAATTAAGATGCATTTAATGACGGGTTTGATATTTTAATTGCAATCATATCATAAAATATGCTCATTTCAAATCAATTTTATTAATTGTATTATTTTGAATATACAAAAGAATATCTAAGAATATAGAAATATAAAAAATAGGAAATAATAACTAGGTGACAGCCACTTGTTTCTCTAAAGAAAAATTCTTACATAGGTTTTTTTAGAATGGTGATTTATATATTATATGTTAATTTAAATTAATGATTAATATCTTATGATTTATGAGGTATTTGAGAATTTTATATTTTAATCATAATAGAATAAAACAGAGTTATATTTGAATTAATTTTAAACTTATACAAATAGATAATGGTCATTATCTGGGAAATAATACATTTTACTGGAATGTAAACATCAAACGATTATAATAGTTTATTATTATTAATATGAATACTTATATTAATATGTAAGAATAAGTCTATTTTAAACTCTAAATTAAAATGTTGAAAATATAAATTGGTCATTTTATTAAACTAAAAGTGATTGCAAACATTCGATCAAGACCATTAACGTAGGTATATTATCATAAATTTCTTTATACTTTGTTTAAGGAAAATAATTAGTTAACTACTTTAAAGTTTTAATTACATAACTTCATCTAATAAGTTATTTCCTATTGAACATTTTTAAGCTCTGTGAATAATGATAAATGTATCAAGTGAATATAACTATGTTTAAAATGTATTAATCGTAAATAAAGTAATTAAGTAGATAAAGAATAAATGGTTAAATAAAAATATTACACAAAAGAAAACGGCATGAATATATCATGATTGTTGGTATGTTTAACACATTTTTAGTCCTTGATTTGTATTTTTAGAATGTTCTATAAAAGTCTATGAATAATTGTAACAGTCAATAAGTATTTTTATGACACAATGCTTAAAAAAAAAAAAAAAAAGACAAAAGGGAAAATATAGAACTGATGGGATTCCGTCATAGAATTAAGAATTAAATTTTAACTTAAGTTTGTTTTTGTAAAAAAAAAAAAATTGTAAATGGATAATAAAATACTTAAAACTAAAAAAAAAAAAACTATTAAATGATTACATAGGTTCTAGAACAATTTGGCAATATTCATAATATATAATTTATGTGTATTGTATACGTATATAGTTTTCTACTTTTTTTAAACTCAATAATATTTTAATCTATTTTACTTGTTTGAACTATACTTATTTATATTTTACCATTTTTAGATGATTAAAATCTTTAAATTTATTAAAAAATAGTCAGTTTTATTTTTTTAGTCATATTCATTGTTATAATTGGATATGCACTTTGCGTTTAAAGGATAAACACTTATGATTCTTAAGCTAGGTATCAAACAGATAATAATTATAAGTTTTATAAGTATTTTCTGTAAAAAAATCTAGTAATGAGTATATAATATAAATCATTTCACAACAAGGCGTGACACATCATTTTCATCAAAATTTAGCTCGAAAACATACTCGAAATCACACAAGTAATTTATCGAGTTCTTATTTGGAATCTTCGTCATATACTTTTAGTGACAATGGTTTAATTAAAATAGCTAACTAAAACATTTTTTTTTATTTATTATTATTATTATTAATCTATCTGTTCTATATTACACGCACACGACAAACGTAGATTTTGTAGAAGGGTATAATAACTGCATAATTACATAAAATCACATATGCGTATTGTGTATAGAATTCGAAAATCACCAAATTTCTGCTTAAACATGATTCTTAACTGTAATTTATTATTTTAAAAATAATTTGAATGTTTAAAACTCGAAATACTAGAATTGTTCTATTTACATATCAACGTTGAATAACTGAGGGTATCACATACTGCAAAGACGCGTTGTATAATTTTGCCAACAGGAAAAAGAAAAAAATGCCATGTGGCGCATTTAGAATTTTTTTTAAATTTCGAATGAAAAATAAACATATTTTATTTTTGTCAGCTCTACGGTTTTCTATTAAACTAAAATATAACCACGAGGGTTACCTAAAATATGAATGTCCTATTGTCTGGATAGCGTTGCTAGCCAGTAGTATACATACTATATTAATATATATGTACATTCGTCAATGTGAGACTACAACTGCTTACTATAGTATAATAGCGATTGACGAATCGATTTACAAAATAAAAACAATAACCTTCGACCGATTAACTGTAACTATGATAATAAATTATTATTGTTAATATTTCTATTAGAAAAACGTACGTTCAGTATACACATTAAGATATGCTCTTATAATTTATGTATAATAGTATATATAGTACCTTTCAGTGTTGACAAACAAATAAAAAAAGCCACACAACAAATGACAACGGCTGATACTGGATGATCAAGCCATTTTCATGGTTTGATCGGAGACAAAAGCGACAATTATTGTTCGGACGAAAGATTCTGCCATTTTTAAATATCGTACCTATATTATAATAATATTATCGTGTATATCGTATTATACTGTTGGTGTTAACGAAATTCGCGAGATTACGCGCGATCCGGTCTTCTGCAGCGTAATAAAATATATTATCACAGATAATGGGTCTAACCGTCCGATCGTTATTTAAATGTATTAAGTACTGTTTATGTCGCGTTTCCTCGTCGTCGAAAAATAGTGACTACAGAAACAATGATTCTTATTACTAAAAAAAAAACGTAAAATGAAACGAATCGGGATCGCGGCACGGAAGTCGGACGAGTAGGTAACTGTGTACTGTTTAATATTTTATGATACGAAGTAGCAACTGAAGAAAAACAAACGATAGCGAATTGTTATATACGAATATAATAATAATTATTATTATTATTGTGAACGATATAATATTATTATGACAATTAGTGGCACGAGTACGCAACGAGATATTAACGTCAAACAGCACAACTCACGAGTCGAACCGCATGTGAACTGAACGATTGGTTGACAGACGAACGAACAAGCGCGCCAACACATACAACGCGCCGCCGATTAAAATACAATATATATTATTATACACACACAAACACATATATACCATGGTATTAGACGCGCGCAGTATACACGATGATAATACCATCATCGTGGTAACGGATTGACGTTTGGTAAGTGCCTTCGTCTATCCTGCTCGCACGTTATGATCGTGTGGTTTAAGGATTTTATGTTCCACTGAAAAAAACACCGATTACCGGCACTGCAGATAAACGGTAAAATATAATAATATGATAAGTAATACGAATAAAATCTTGTAATCATAACATTGTAATAAGTGTGCGATAATATTCTTATGTAATATTAAATAATAAAAATGCAGGTGTTATCAAGTAGGTAACGTCGTTCTTACCTAAATAAAGTTACGGGTGAAAGAGAACGGGTAAATAATATTAAAAATAATAAAATATTATTTAAATATACATTTTTACGTATCCCTCTACACGTGTAAGTTCGGTAGTGTTTTCAAAGGCTTTTTTTACTCCACAATAGAATCGATTTACACGCACTTGTTGATGCAGGTCTTACGATTTCTTCTAAACGGTGCACTTAGGTATCAAACCAATTTTTGTTTAACTTTGAAAGGAGTTGCAAATTTATTGTACGTTATACGCAAAATAATACAATTATAATTTCCGGAGTAAAATATTTGTTTAAGAAAGAGGTTAAAACAAATCGATGATGATAAAATGATCCCCTAAGGACGTCCCAAGCTGGCATACTCATATAGTCAAGTATTATTATTGACATCTTTCGACCACGTGATCTGCTCTACATTAAAAAAAAAGCCTTTTTATATGGTGCGGGGCGGGTACGGGTGTGCTCACACTCACATTACGGATTACAATTGATACATGCTTACTCAACTATTATATATGTGATCAGCCCATATACAAAGAGTGATAATGACAATCATATATTTTTATATAAGTCACTTCTTAGTTTTTATGTAGGTCTATCTATGTTTTATCACATGTATATCGATCGTTATTTTAACTATCACACATGCAATATATATTTATTTTTAAAATTAATATATAAATATATATTACGCAGTGGTGTCGAGTTGTATAAATTTAAGTGGAGCAGAATAAAAATATTTTGATAAATGGATTAGGAAATAATATGTTGTCTACCTCTAATAACTAATAATTTTAGTTATTTATTTAATTATTTAATATAGGTATTATGTAATGTAAAAACAAAAATCCATATATAAATAAAACCACCCACCCTCTTTATTATATGAAGTGATCGCTTCAGTTCATGAATAGATCCGGCACCACTGATACTATGTATACAAACAACGAGATATTCTAACAGCAGAATACACAATTCGTATATTACGTTAGTCAAATTTTGAGCAGTGTAGTAATAAGTGACAAGACTAGGCCTCAACTTTATTTTAATGTTTTTTTAAATTAAAATCTATACTTTTTCAGTATTATACATATTTTTATTTTTATTGTTTATTTTGTAAAAAATATACTGCTTCTAAATATGAAATGAAAACATAAATAAGAAATTTAGTGATAGTGAAAGCTAAGAAATTAATTGGTTAAAAAATATTAGATTATTTTTGCAAAAATTTCAAGTGTTAATTTTTGAATACTTTGAATTTGATTTTTTTTCCTTTAACATAATAATTGACTATAATTCATAATAAAAAAATCATCCTTGTGTGTACATATGGCAACATTTTAAGTATTTTTTTAAAACGCAATATTGTGCCACACCGATCAACTGTACACGCATTTTGTTGTTATTGCTTATTGGCATTGATCCAAAAATAAAGATAAAAAAAGGGTTGTGTGAAGATAAAATATATTTTTAGTACATCAAGAGGAAGTGGGACGACTTACTGCCGCCGCCGTTGCCACCACCGCCATAGAGCTACCTTTATGTGTTTATTTATTTTCTGAAATTCAAGTACATAAATTAATTATTGTACGACCTTAAGATTTTTTTCAATTTTTCAATTTATATTTAAAGTTATAAAGAAATAATGTCAATGACATATTATATTTAAAGATTCTTGAAAATAAAAAAATATTTCCAAAACTCTTAAGTTTATAATTTAGATATAGGTTGATGAAAAATAGTTATACATTTAAAGTAGTAAATATAAATATCAAGCCATTATTAGTTTCAATTATCATATTATCCTTAATCATACCAATAATTTAATTATTTTATAAGATTTTAATTATTATATGATTTATACAATTATAATTCACAATAGGTATAATTACATAATAATAATATCTATTATATTACTATTTATACCATTATAGATACCCGTAAATTGTACCTTTTTAATATTATGTATCTATATATCATTATAAAAAGAATAACTTGAACATTTTTACGTCAAACTTATAATTATTATGTGAGCATAATAAACTTTATCACGCTTAATGATAACATAAATTTAATATCAATATAAAAATGAATAGATTTAGAAAAGACGTAGATATCTATATAAATGATTTATGTTTGGTTTTCTTATGGTTTATGATATTTAGTATTAGTAAGTGAAATAATTTGGTGTATACTTTTATTTGAAACATAATATTATTTTCAATATTCAATTCACAATAATTGTACTTTAGGCCTTCAGGTATGAATTTTAATGATTCTGTTTAGTCGATCTACATACTATATTTTCTAAAGTATTATTATTTCGAAATAATCATTATTATAAAAAAAAACTATTTTAAATTTTATATGTTATCGGGAATTTGTTATTCTAATTTCTCGCAATGTAATTTTATTTCCTTCGAAAGTACAAAACAAAATGAGTCATAATATTATATAATATAAGCGCGGTATAAAAATAATTTATTTGTTAGTTGTTTTTACTATGATGAATTTATAATAGCATAAAACATCTTGAATTGGAATTTATTATAATGTATCCTAATGTTTTGAATTATATTATTGAAAACATTATATAATCAGAAGTATATAAAATATCATGTAATTTAATTGACGAAATTAGTTAAATAATTTTGAGTACTTAACTGCAAATTTTATGTTTGATCATAGTTATCTACTTGCAGGTTCTTAAAAGTGTATGCGAAGCAGTTTCGTATACATTTTAGTTTCCATAGACTTTGATATAGATTTTTCATAGCAAATGTCTAGTAAAAAAAAAGTTGATTTTCAAATTTAATATTCTTGATTTTACAAAAAAAACATTTGTTTGTTTTACTATTTATTATAGGTACAATTTATTCAATTAACTTACGCATGAAATTATATTATATTACGCAAGAAAATTTGTTTATAATATTTATCGTAGATTTTATCTAGTTTGTGGATGGGCTGGGGGTCAAAAATTGTCAATAGGTATTTATAAAAATAGTTCTAAAATATAGAATTATTTACACAACAGCTGTAAATTTATTCTAAGTTTTTAATATTGCTTTAAGCTTGATAAACATGACAATTTTTTTTTTTTTTTTTTTTATTACGAAAGAAAATTTACAATCTGTACACAATAATTACAATGAGCAAATGTGATGTATTAATATAGAACAAAATGACATGAATAACATGATGAGGAAGATACCCAATGGTAACACCTCTTATACTAATTTAATAAGTCTCTGCACCATTAACGCTTTAGTCTGCGTGGTGGGTTTTTTGGGAGGGTGAGGGTGGACATGTAAGATATTAAAATGTTGCTATGCGTGCTTAGATTTTGGTGAAAACATTTGTACATTGTTGTAGCAAGTTCAGTGGTAATTGTTATTTTTAAGTCGTTGTGTAAGGTAGAGTTTGAAACGAACCAGGGGGCTTTTGTGATTAACCTTAGCACAATAGATTGAAAAGCCTGAATTGGCCTAATGTTTGAGGGCTTGGCCGGACCCCAGATTGCTATTCCATAAGACGAGACTGGTCTTATGATTGCCTTATATATAACAAGCTTGTTTTGGAGTGAGATTTTTGAGTTAAGGAGAGGTCGGAGGAGATGTAGTCTATTGTTCGCTGTTTTTCTTTTTTCTTTTAGGTGGGGGCCCCAGGTTAGCCTTTTATCAAGTGTTATGCCTAAGTACTTTATTTCGGTTCGGACAGAGATGGGGATGTTGTTCATTACTACTCACTGGGAGATTGTTTTAAAGTGAAAGTAACTTGCACAGATTTATCAGTATTTATTTTAATTTTCCAATTTTTGGCCCATTTGTCAATTTTATTAGCATGGTCCTGAAGTGCAGCTGAAGCAAGATTGGGATTTGAACTGGAGGAAAAAATAGCTGTGTCATCGGCGTATGTTGCGAGAAGGGTGTTACTGGATTGAGGGATATCAGCTGTGAATATATTGTATAGATCAGGGGATAAATCACTACCCTGCGGGACACCGGCATATATTGAGTGAGTAGATGAGATATCATTACCCTGTCGTACGACAAACGAACGTTTTTGCAGATAAGATTTGATAATAAGATAGTAGGGAGCTGGCATGAAGAGTTTTAATTTGTATAGTAAGCCTTCGTGCCAAACATTATAAAAAGCTTGGGCAATATCTAAGAAGAGTCCGGAGCAGTATTCTTTGTTCTCTAGAGCAGTTGAGATTTTGTTAGTAAGACGGTGGACTTGATGAATTGTTAAGTGCTTATTTCGAAATCTAAATTGATTATTTGGTATGATTTGGTTATTTTGAAGGATGGGACGTAATCTTTTCAGGAGGGCCTTTTCGAAAAGTTTACCAAGAACTGGGAGTAAACTTATGGGACGGTATGATGAAGATAAGTGTTTAGGTTTATTTGGTTTAGGTACAAGTATAATGACAGCAAATTTCCAGATTTTTGGGAAGTAAGACAATCTTAGGATAGAATTATATATGTGGGTAAGCAATATTAAAGTTTTGAGAGATAGATTTTTTAGAATTTTGTTTGTTATGAGGTCGTAAACATGACAATTAAATAAAAAAATCATCGTTAGTTGTCTTATATTTA